TTGATCTGTGGGGAAGCGGAGGGGCGAAAATTAAAAAAAAAAAATTATCATCTGCGGGGAAACAGGGATGAAAATTTTAAAAAAAAAAAAAAAAATCTGCAGGGAAATGGAAGGATGAAAATTTAAAGATAAATAATAATAACCTGTGGGGAAACGGAGGGATGAAAACTAAAAAAAAAATCAGCGGGGAAAACGGAGGGATGAAAATTTAAAAAAAAAATAATAATCTGCAGGGAAGCGGAGGGGCGAAAATTAAAAAAAAATCATCATCTGCGGGGAAACAGGGATGAAAATTTAAAAAAAAACAATAATAATCTGCAGGGAAATGGAAGGATGAAGATTTAAAAAAATAATAATCTGCGGGGAAACGGAGGGCTGAAAATTAAAACAAAAAATCTGCAGAGAAGCAGAGGGCCGAAAATTTTGAAAAAAATAATCTGCGGGGAGACGGAGAGATCGGGGTGAAAATTGAAAAAAAAAAATTTAAAAATCAGGCTGCAGATGGAGATATGGCGTATCGGACGTTCTAACGACCTGCGCACCCTGCGCTCGTCTTATGAATGATGCAAACGGGCTCCCTCCACTCTATTAACGATCTCCAATTAATGTCGCACGCTTTAATTTTCCCTTTGCTCTCAGGATCCGACGGTTTTTGCTTCACGCAGCGGCTGCGTCCCGTGCTCCCGTTCCTGGCTCCCGGGAGCGTCCGGGCACTCCCCAAATCTCCGTGTTTCCCCCCAAAACCCCGGCGGCTCACCTGGTACTGCTTGAGGACGCCGTTGACCATCAGCGTGGACTGCTTGTCCACCCGCTCGGTGACGGCGTGCGCCACGGCGTAGTACGACTGCAGCCCCCGCGCCAGCGCCTGGGACACCCCGTACTCATCGTCCACGTCCTGCTTGGCGTTCCTGCGGGGAAAAAGGGGAAATGAGAAAAATTATCCCTTTGGAGAAACCTCCTGGGGAGCCCCGGCAGCTCCAGGGTGGGGGATTTTCCCAAATTCGGTCTAATTTGGGGGGAAAAAAGGGAGATAAGAAAAGAAAATCCCTTAAAGGGAATTTTCCCAAATTCAGTCTTGTTTTGGGAAAAAAAGGGAAATGAGAAAAATAATCCCTTCGGAGAAAATTCCTGGGGAGCGCCAGCAGCCCCAGAGTGCAGGATTTTCCCAAATTCGGTCTCATTTTGGGGAAAAAAGAAAGAAAATCCCTTTGGAGGAAGCTCCTGCAGAGCCCCAGCAGCCTCAGAGCATGGGATTTTCCCAAATAAGAAAGAGAATCCCTTTGGAGGAAGCTCCTGCAGAGCCCTGGAAGCCCCAGGGAAGGGGAATTTTCCCCAATTTAGTCTAATTTTGGGAGAAAAAGAAAGAAAATCCCTTTGGAGGAAGCTCCTGCAGAGCCCTGGAAGCCCCAGGGAAGGGGAATTTTCCCCAATTTAGTCTAATTTTGGGAGAAAAAGAAAGAAAATCCCTTTGGAGGAAGCTCCTGCAGAGCCCTGGAAGCCCCAGGGAAGGGGAATTTTCCCCAATTTAGTCTAATTTTGGGAGAAAAAGAAAGAAAATCCCTTTGGAGGAAGCTCCTGCAGAGCCCCAGCAGCCCCAGAGCGCGGGATTTTCCCAAATTCGGTCTAATTTTGGGGAAAAAAGGGGAAATAAGAAAGAAAATCCCTTTGGTGAAAACTCCCGGGGAGCCCTGGCAACCCTAAAGTGCAGGATTTTCCCAAATTTGGTCTAATTTTGGGAAAAAACAGAGATAAGAAAGAAAATCCCTTTGGAGGAAGCTCCTGCAGAGCCCCGGCAGCCCCAGGGAAGGGGAATTTTCCCAAATTCGGTCTAATTTTGGGGAAAAAAGGGGAAATAAGAAAGAAAATCCCTTTGGAGGAAGCTCCTGCAGAGCCCCGGCAGCCCCAGGGAAGGGGAATTTTCCCAAATTCGGTCTAATTTTGGGGAAAAAAGGGGAAATAAGAAAGAAAATCCCTTTGGAGGAAGCTCCTGCAGAGCCCCGGCAGCCCCAGGGAAGGGGAATTTTCCCAAATTCGGTCTAATTTTGGGAAAAAAGGGAGATAAGAAAGAGGAAAGTCCTGTGGAGCCCCAGCAATCCTGGGTGGGGAATTTTTCCCAAATTCAGTCTAATTTGGGAAAAAAAAAAAAGGAGAGTTAAGGAAGGGAATGAATCCCCTTGGAGAAACCTCCCGGGGAGCCCCGGCAGCCCAAGGGTGGGGGATTTTCCCCGATTTTGCCTCATTTTGGGAAGCAAACGCGCGAGAAGGCTCACTCGATGATGTGCCTGGCGTCCACCTCGGAGACGTCGTCGCTGTCGGGGTCGGGGATTTTCTTCTTCTCCTCCACGGGCAGGGCGGGCTGAGCGGGCTGCGGCTGCTCCTCCTCCTCCTCCTGCCGGGGAGGAGACACCGACGCTGAGCACAGCACCGCCGAAAAACCCCAAATATCCCAAATATTGATGGGAGCCGGCGCCGGGGGAAGGACCGAGGGGCTGAGCCTCCTGCGGGACCGCTGGTCCCCGTTCTCTCGAAATATCCCAAACCCGCAGCGTGAGGGCGGGGGGGGTCCCTCCTTACCTCCTCCTCCTCTTCCGACCCGCTTTCTTCGCTGTCGGACCTGGGAGCCACTTCGTATCTAATTAAACACCAACAGGAACATTTAATCGCAAACCTGCTCCCGCCACGCAGCGGGAGACCGCTGCCGGGAACTCTTTTTTTAAACTCCCGTTTTATCGTCGCTATTCCCTCCCAACCCTACCCCTTCTATCATTTGTTTTTTTCTTTTTTAATAAAATCCTTATTAATTTATTTTTTCCCAAATTATTTCCAGTTTTCAGACGCGCTCTCGGGAAAGCGGACGAGCCCGAGAGCCTGCATCCAGGACCAAAAAAAAAATCCCAAAAACTTTTCCTGCAGAATTTTGGGCGGACGATGGAATTTTAAATCTTTTTTTTCCCCATCGACAGCTCGATCCCGGTCCCCGAGGAAACCCCCCGGGGCCGTACCCCGGGTTCATCTCCAGCCAAGCCTCCAGCTGGCCGGCTTTGGGCGCGTCGGTGCCGGTGAGGATCTTGCCGCTCTCCACGTGGATCACTTTGACGGGGAGGTCGCTCATCTGGCTCGTCGTCCAGCGGCTGCGGGAGCAACGCAGGCTGCGGGTTAGTTTGGGGGGTGGCTTTTTGCCTCCAGAGTTGGAATTTCCACCAAACCCACCCCGGGGCAAAAACAGCACCGGCAAAGCGCGAAAACCGGCGAGACTGAACGTTTCGCTTTGAAAAATCGACGTGAAAAATCA